TTGTGATGGGAGACTTCAACGCCCGGGTTGGATCACAAAAGCACGGCGAGGTCTTCATCGGGCCGCATTCGGCAGAAGAGCGCAACGAGCGTGGGGAGAGATTAGCTAGTTTTTGCGGACTGCATCATCTCTACATGGCAATAATCGTTCCTCAAGGCACCACGGAAAAGATGGACTCATATTTCGCTGAATGGACAACATTGTCACGAAGTCGACCACATTTTGTGTAATCGGGGAATCATGACGGATGTGGCGGTTGTCCCTTTTTTCAACACGGGGAGCGATCATCGTTGGCTGCGAGGGCGTTTTCACCTCGACCGCGGCTTGATGCGTCTGACGCGCATACGCTCAAGACAGCCGTGCCCCACTGTACTGGACGAAGACGAGGTCACGAGGCTTTCAAAAGAAGAGTCGTTTGAAGTGATGGATGACATCGACGCTGACTACGAGAACCTCGTGCTAACCGTAACCGCAATCGCAAGCAGCTGTCGCAGTGTTGCGCCCACCTACAGTTCTCGTCGCATCTCTGCTTCTACTCGTGCGCTACTCGAAAAGCGAAGAATTATGGATCGACAGGAAAGCAACGTGGAGTACACTTTGCTAAGTAGGTTGTGTAGGCAACGAATTGCTTAAGATCATGCCAATTTTGCAAGATCGAAGCGCCTAGATGAGGCAGAGAACAGGCGGAGTTTAAGGAAGGCGAGAAGAAAGATAGCCGAGTACCGTCTTAGGATTTCATGCTTAAAAACTGCGAATGGAACTCGACGCTGCTCCATACCTAGAATGGAAGAAATCTTGACAACGTTCTACTCTGCTCTGTTCAGATCGGACCTTCCAATTGCGAGAAAAGAAAGATCAGTTTTGGAGGAAATGCTGCCTTCTCAGTCATCAGAAGTGCATGCGATTAAACGATGCCTCGAGGCAGGGCGCCGGGGAAAGACGGCATCTTCGTGGAGCTTCTACAGGGTGTCCCAAAATTATTGGCGCTTATTTATAGCAATATATTTGAAACTTCTCAGCTGCGAAAGATGATGGAATTTATATGCACGCTAGCTAACACCATGTGCTACAACATGCTAAAGCCCCATTTCAAAATATCTCCCGTGAGCGCGGATAGAAGTCAAAGTTTGCTCTCGACTTAATCACATGTGGCAAGCAGGGATCCTTCTCCATTTCTTCCCAGCCGTTCTTCAGCCTTTGCATTCTAGGACTCCAAACAGGGACTGCAAACTCGACAGGTCCTCTTCTGATCAGGGACCGTTAGTGGGGGTCAAATGAGTCAAGCTCTGGAAAACAGGATGACCATTCCTCTTCACCAATGAAGTCGGGCAGCTGTCGTCGACACCACTCGCGGGCAAGCTTGGCTCTGTGGGCTAGGGTAGCGTCCTGCTGGAAGGATNACGAGATGTTTCAGAAAACGTAGTCTGATCAGTGCTTCAGCACTTCCATCAGTACGCTGTTTGAGCACAGGTCTTGGTGAATTTTCATGCCTGCACCGAAGAAACCGCGAGCGGCTTCCCCTTGCCAGTGATTTCCTCGGAAAACATCATTTTACTATTCTGATAGCAACCATTTTGTGAGATATTACACACTAGATGTTTCTTTCCGGAACGCGAACGTTTTGGTTGTTGAGGAATGGCTTTATCGTAAAAAATTTCTTGACCAGAGAAAACGACGAAGGACTGCGTGTCACCACTTTCGACTTTCTGCATTTTTGGCCCTGCAGTATCTGTTGAGATCGGAATTGAAGCGAAATTTCTGCATACGATAGGAACGGCAGTGAAGCTCCTGCATGACATTCTTCCACCGCGATAACTCGGATAGGCTGTGCCCGTTGACTTCCTTTTGATGGGTCACCCAGAATCTCGACCGATTGACAGACGGACCATTTTAATAGTCCTATCTCCAGGAACATTCTACCTTTCTATCTTTCCTCGTTTGCTCTGATTCAATCTTCTTTTCTATATCGTTTAATAGCCTCCTATACGGTTATTATAAAAATCCCAATGAATTTCATAATGCCCTTCCACCTCTCACGTGTCAGTGATTGCAAGTGGCATTGAATGAGCCTTGAGTTCCACAGATATTGGGAGTTCCACATCAATAACCATGCATATTGCAAGGAAACCTTCTTATGCAACTAATTAATAACAGGTAATGTGAATTTGATAGATATTTCTACCTTAAAAATTACTGAACTTTGGCGCCAATAATTTTGGGACAGCCTGTACAAGCGTGCGGGCCTCCCTTATATCGAGCGCTTGCGAGGCGATACACTCGCCACCCGGCGGAGTGTACGGTTCCAACGGCTTGGAAGGAGGGTTCGACGGTGCTGCTTTTCAAGAAGGGCGACAAAGAAGATCTAGCGAACTATCGTCCAATCACGATTCTGCCAGCACTTTATAAAATATTCACGCGTTGTATACTGGCACGTATCCGTAGGACCCTAGAAGAAGCTCAACCGGTAGAACAAGCGGTTTTTCGTCGAAACTTCAGTACACTCGACCACATCGCAACTTGCCGACATCTTCTCGAAGCTTCCCGTAAGCATCGCTTTCCCCTCGTAATGACCTTGATTGACTACAAGAAGGCGTTCGACTCGGTGGAGCCAGTAAAGGTCTGGGAGGCGCTGGAGGTGCAAGGTGTTGAAAGGATCTACGTGGACGTACTACGAGAATGCTATTCAAACTGTACAACGGTATTCCATCCTTTCTACAATGACGTTGTAGCAGCAGTTCAGAAAGGAGTACGGTAAGGAGATCCGATATCGCCAAACCTGTTTTCCGCCTGCCTACAGCACATCATACGTCGCTGCAACTGGAGTAACTTTGGTGTTAACATCGACGGTGTGTGTCTTAACCATTTGCGATTTGCCGATGACATTGTGTTAATCACGGACTCTCCAGAACACGCTTCTAAGATGCTGGATCGCTTAGATGAGGAAAGAAGCCACTGTGGTCTCACCATCAATACTTCTAAGACCAAAGTAATGCGAAGAAACCAATTCTCAGGCGATACCCCTGTACTTTTGAAAGGAGGTGCTATCGAAGACGTTGACGAGTACGTGTACCTCGGGAGCCAGCATAACATGAGGAACGACTTAAGTGGAGAGTTGGCAAGACGTCGCAAGGCTGGATGGGCAACATTTGACTCCATAAGAAACGTACTGGAGGACACCAGGGACTGCAAATATTTAATTTAACGGTGTTGCCTGCCCTCAGCTGCGCGGGAGAAACCTGGGCTCTGACGAAAACACTATAAAGACATTTAAAGTCCACCCAAGCTTCGATTGAACGTCGTCTTTTGAGTCTAACGCTGAGTCGGCAACGAGTACTCAAACTTCATAATTCCGACGTCAGAGCAATGTCGAAAGTTAAAGACGTTCTAATTCACGTCGATGAAGCGAAGCACAGATTTGCCGGACCCTAATGAGAAGAGAGGATGGACTGGAGCTCGGTCTCTATGCGATGGTACCCGCGAGAAAAGAAGCGGCTGCATGGCCGTCCTCCTTTGCGATGGACAGATTCTCTAGCTTATCAAAACAACGTCTATGATCCGAAGTCTTTTAGGGTGACTACGCACTGGACAACCAGAGTCCAAGATCGAGAACAATAGAAAAGAAGTTGGGACCGCGCAAGGCCAGTCGCAGTGCTGATGGTCGGGTCGCATAAGTATCTAAGTAAGTAAGTATCTAAGGTCAATGGGGAAAGGCGCTAAGAATTTGCGACCTAAAATTTCTATCGCGCATACTTTGCCCCTTGTGGGCGGAGTCCGGTTTTGTCACCCACCATAAGTGTTCCTATACTGTCTCCTGTACTCCTACCAATTTTCAACGCTCTGGGTCCCCTGGAACAGGAGTTATGAATTTGCGGCCTGAAATTTCTATCGCGCCTGCCCCGCCCCCTGTAGGCGGAGTGTGGCACTGCTACCTGTCATGGGTATTCCCATCCTGTCTTCCGTACTCCCACCAAATTTGAACTCTCTGGGTCCACGGAAACAAGATATGAATTTCCGGCCAAACACACACACACATACACACACCGACACACACCGACACGCCGACACAGCGACACACCGACACACACCGACACACATCGACACGCCGACACGCCGACACACCGGCACACCGATTTCGACACACCGACACACCGATACGCCAACAGGCACACTAAGCGAATTACATAAAGTAGGATTGCTACTATTATTTACTAATTTGCGTCAAGGATGGGTCTCGATAAGCTATGGTGTAGTTACATGTCTAGGGCATACATGCAATGCTGTATAGGGCAGTAGACTTTCGTTGATATAATGAAATCACCGGAAGCCCAGAGTTGTATTGTGTTTCCGTAGCTTTGTGGTCGAATTATCCTTGACAATTGTAGCTAATAAGCGTGAATATCATTAAAGGCTCTGAATAAGTGATCAGGTTACCTGGCTAAAGAGATGTCTTTGTGGCCGATGAACGACTTAGCTCTGGAGCTGTGCAGAAAGAAACGCGCCGCGTGGGGAGCATTCGAAAACGTCGAGGGAGCAGTGAAGAAGACAAAGAACATCCGGCTCTGTGCTCGCTTTTTCGACACCGCTGTCCTTCCTGCTTTGCCGTACGTCTCGGAGACTTGGACTCTTCGAAAACAGGATGAGCATGCTGTCGGCGCTACTCAACACACTTTGCTCGGAATTTCCCTATAAACAAGTGCAGAAGGGAATCCGGAGTCGCGAGCTCCGTCAACGAACAAAGGTCAGCGATATCGTTGATTACGAACAGAAATCGAAGACCATGTGGGCCGGACACGTCGTACGATATAGTGTTGGACCACGGCGGTTACTGACTGGATCTCTCAGGACATCAAACGAACTCCAGGGCGCCAACGAGATGGTCAGACTTCTTCACAAGAGCTCTGAACGAAAGGAATGTTGGACTACGTGCCCCTGAAGCGAGGAGATTCACTGAACCACTCTGGCTCGTGATAGGAACGAACGCAGGCGTTACCGGCACCCGCTCGAGAAAGTCGCTGATCAACGGGACGACAGATGGTACAGGTGGAAGATGTCTTTGCATCTTATTATTCAAAGATAGAATAAAGTCTTCATGTGTGATTATTTGTAACTGAGATCAAGAGCCATAGATCGAGACATCTGTAAGCAGTTGTAAGCATCAAATTATTGTATTCCAGTGCATTACTCTGTTTACACCAGGCTCTCTTCCTTTGTCGCATTTCCTCGCACGTTTCCTTTTAAAAATTTTGTTATCGGTAATGTTGTAAGATTGGTACGGGATTCGCTCTAACTGAGTGGCCTAACGTTCTGAATTCGTCAAAGGAGGGAAGAACAGTCGAACGCCTCTGCTCTGATTAAGAAAATAGAAAGCAAACTAACAAAAATCCATCAGCCTATCAATCGAATTGGTAGAGATTCTCAGGATACACGACAATGCCTTGAACCACGTTCAATACCATTTCGACTTTATTCCAAAGCGGTTTGTGCTCTGGTCTTGAAACGCTTCCCATATTTCATTTTCAATTCTGATTGTTCTTTGTTTGTCAAGTTTGTACATTATAGCAGGATACATAGACTTCTTATACGATGTAACGATTGGTTTTGGCGATTGCATTGTGCAGTCTGAAGTCGACTTTGCCATGCATGGCGTCTGTTCGAAGGACGTCCACTACCAGGCGAGAACTCAACAATATCTTACAATTTGTTTATTATCCACTTCTGAAACTTTATGGTTAGTGACGACCGTTAGAGCTAAAGTAAAGGAAAATTTTGAATAATATTGTAATATAATATTATATATAATATAGTGCTTCGTAAATAATTTCATAAATTTTACTTTCCAAAAAATTTTGTGGTTGAACATGAGCTTTGATTGAAAGGTTTTGTTCACACTGATGCTATGCGATATTGCCATATCAAATCGACGATCGTGACCTCTCCAGAGTTGCAGGGCTCATCTAGACATTTCTTTCTTCTTTTTCTTAGCCTTGAAATCATTTTTATTGCAGAATGTGCTTCTGCTTTTGTTAGCTCTGTTCCCGTCAAGGCATGAAGCAAAGATAAAGATAAAGTCGCCGCCTGGTTCCGAAGGCTCCTCACTTCCTCTTAAGGCACGGTTCACGATGAAAATGGTCACTGAGTTCTTCCCTGGAGATTACTCGGTGGCTCCGAGGGTAATAGGAAGAACCCTCCCACGCCCGAAAGCTCAAAGCAGCAGGGCATAGTGGAAGCCCTGCTCCCGTCCGCGCGGCCTTCCCGCCCCTCGATCGATGTCACGTCAGGAGAGCGTCGAAGCGATAGAGATTGCAATCATTCGTCCCGGGACCCACACACAACTCAGCTGATCGCCGAGTGATGAAGCGATGTTTTTATCCCATTCTTTTCTCCTCTGTAATTCTTTTTGCTGCCGCATTCCCTTCCTTAATTCCCTACCCCAAGTGGCTGAAAAAGTTGAGCTGTTTTCGCTGTTACTAGGGTTTTTTGTTTACTTATGCTTACAAGTGAATAAATTTTTGCTTGCCGTAGTCGGTTATTTGCACCACGACCCACACGTAGCAATGGCCCACATTGTAGAGCTCGTCCGAATGCCCCACTCTTCTTCATTCTTCTAGTCTCATTCTCGTCCCGCCCCCTTTTAATGATTTTTCGAAGCCTTTTTCACTTTGGTAACACCGATTCACGCAGTTTCTTCGCTTTCATCACACTATTTTCCATCTTGTCTTCTATTTTTCGTCATGATCTGGTTTACCCCAAAATTATCGTGAAATGTGCCTTTAATGCCTTTTCATGGTCTTGGTGGTCTGGAGTTAGCTCAGGCTCTCCAGTGGTATTTGAGCAGGAGAGTGTGAGGGCAAACATATGACAGGAATGAGGAAATATTCTTCGTACCGCAAACTGCTATACCCACAATGCGCAAGAAAATTTCAAACATTCGGATGGAAGCTATATGTGCCACTGGTAGGTGAAACTTAGTCAGAAACCAAAGAAGTTTGGGATCATGTCCACCAAGAAAAAGTAAAAATTCGAAATCGACGTGTAGCACTTCTAAAACGAAAGCTTCAAAGTTTGACAAAAATATTACCAAGAGCAACAAGAATTGTTAGAACACTAAAAGGGACATTCTTTGTTGGAAGTCGTTGTACTCCCAGCGATACCTTTCCAACAGAGCTTTTCCTCGATTCAATTTGCTCCATTCGTGGTCGCTTTTTTGCATACCTTTTTTCAGGTTAAAAAAATAAAGATTGGTGATCTTCCTTCGGATGATGAAAAGCTTGCGAATTGGCTTATTACGCTCTGGAGGGAAAAGGAAGAGAAGCTTCGCTATTTTTACTCTAAAGCCCCAAGTGAGAGGGAATTCGAAAATACTCCTGATGGACGAGATTACGAGGTACAATGCAAAGTTTTCACCACGTTTGTGAGTGCCAAATGTCTAGATCAAGTTTCCGTTCCCGAGGGCGACAAAATGTAACAGTATTTCGCCGGCTGATGTCTTTTCACACTTTTGTACTTTTCACACTTTGTAACTCCTTATTTGATCGTTTATATAGTTGAAATCATTGCCAGCATTTAAATATCAAGGTTGGGCTTCAATTTTGAAGTTCAGTCTCTCAGCGCATTCTAAAACTACTTACCGGCTCGAAATGTCTTTTTTTGTGCTCGTTCCATGATGAGTAAGGATCAATACGAAAAAATCCATATAAATCTCAATAAGTTCGATTTGTAGCGACTATGTAAGGATGTAGCCCCATCAAATGGAACGCAATCGAAAACTAAAAAAACGTTCCGAAAGGGAATTCTTACGAACTAAAAGTAAGGCATCAAATTTGCTGCTCAGTTGATGGGAACTTAGGGAGTTTCGAAAGGCGGTGTAGCACCTTTATAAAGAAATGCATATGATGTTTATTCAATCGTTTTGACAAAAAATAACACAATTTTTTTTAGATGAGCAAAGGAGTCTACGTTACCCAGCTGTGCATCATCGCCTTCTGGAGTCTAACCACTTTGATTTGGCTATATGGATTCTTAATGGTATCTCTACTTCTAATTTTCTAGAGGTCTAATTTTGCAACAGCAATGTTGTATCTTAGAGAAGAGGTTATCGAATAAGAACAGTGGTTCAACATAATTGTTGCGCTTTATGCCAACCTAGTTTTCTTCTCACGTGTGCTTACGGGGGTGGGTTAAGAACAACAAATGTTCATAGGGGAGCAAAGGTTCTTCGAAATAACGCTGATTCGATTATACTTTTGATCTTGAGTGTTTTCTCCTGCCAAAATAATTCACAGTTTAAAGCTTGATTGTAGAGTGGCAATTCATTTATCTATTCATTACGCACACAAAATATGCCATCAGCAATATAGGGAACAACCCAAAGCTAGAAAACACGGAAAGTTCCGCCATCGTATATAATCATAAGCTTAAAAATTAAGTGAAACCCGTGGGACTATGGTGCTTCACATTACACATACTACATAAATGTCACATTTGCTTGTAAATAACATTGAAATGTAATGAAATGGAAGACAGTGCTTTTCTTTGATACCATTGGTGACTCCAACATCATCCACATATCTGACCACTGCAGTTAGTTGAAGAAATGTGAGACGGCAATCGCTGAAGCGATTGAGAGTGGAAAGGCAGTGGCTGTACTTACCCCACTGGTCGCTGCCGTTGTAGAAAGAGAAACAGCAATCGCTAAAGCGATCGAGAGCGCAGAGGCGGTGACTGCAGAGCAGGCTGCCCAGAAGTTTCGTAGCGACATAACATCACGTATAAAATAGAAGTATGAGATTATAAATTTTCGTGAGTTTGTGAGTTTTGACCTCTAATGTGTGAAATAGTTTTACCATTAATCGTTAGCGTTTTTTTCATTATTCATCTTCACAGTTCAATGCAACTAACTCTCTAACTTCTATGTGTAGGTGACGAAAGCAAAAAACCAGGTCTGCCATGAGGCTTCTCCTTTTCAGAATCATCATAATGAGTTGTCGCAAACTTTCTTCATAACTCGGCAAGCTACTCCAAGATAAATCTGTGTATTCTCTGCTGAACAGAGTTTAGTAAACATTCTTTTATTCTACCCTTGTAGCCATTACAATATCGTGTCAGTTAGTTGGCTACATCACAACTGGGTATAAGTGCTTATGCATCAAATCATCCCTTTTATATCAATAGCTCCGTCTTCCGTGATCCTTCTTCACATTCTCCATGTGCACGTCCACCTTCGTGTTCTTTATTCCAACTGCACCATCTACCTGAAGTGGCCTACCTAACTTCATCCTTCAGCATCCCCCGTAGTAACCATCAGTCACTCATTCTACCACCACCACTGTGACTCCGCAGACCCCGACGGCCTTACCGTTGCTAGAGTTGTTTCTGTCAACCAACGAACTTACCAACACCAACACAGTTATACATGTTTCTCTGGGAGCATTGTATTTCTTCTCCAAGAGCCGCTTTCTTCATCGCTCCTTCACTTCAACTCTGCTGTGGCTTCGACATCCTCGTGACTTCTTCTTGCTTCTCCTGCCCGAGTGGAACACAACCAATTGCATCGGCGGTTTTCTCGGAAGCAGAAGCGTAGCCGCACTGTTCTGTTGCTGTTGCGCCATCTTTTGTGTGGGTCACGACGAGCCACTTTTCCGCGCCAGGCGCGAGCACTGGGCTCCTCGCTAGGGGTTGTTCATGTTTACAGAAAACCATTTATTTTTTTGGCCTCCTTCTGCTATGACCTAGGGGCTCACTGCTTGTTGCTGAACAATCACGGCCGGTGCCTGTCCCACCGGCTGTGCGGGTGGGAGAGGAACCGGGAACTCACCACGACTAAGGGAGACTGGGATACAAAGGGTGGTATGGCGACCTGCCCTAACGTAGCCATCTGCGGAACCAGCGGGAAGTTCATTGCCTTCTCGCCCGGCAAAAAAATGGACCTTTCATGAACACACGGTTTCTGGGACGACTCCCGAAAACCAATTCTTTCTTTCACGCTCTGATAATTACATTTGTAGATACACTTGCAGCCCCACCTCGAATTTCCTCTGCTTCACGTTCTTATCGTATTGCTTTTTCGTTTCCCTCATCTGGATGGTTAACCGTGGGTTACTTGACGTTTCCGTTAGGTCCGACGTCGTTCACAACGAACGCCCCATTAACGATTCCGCCATAAGGGTCGGAGACTCGAATGCACTGTTACTCGATAAAAAAGCAAATCTCTCATAGTTGTATCCTAGGCTTGCCCCGTCATAATTGCTACGCGGGTTGATAATTCTTCTGTTACGACAGGGAGGCACAACCGACCATTTATTGGGCTCTCAAACCTCAAAGTTGGGTAATTAAACCCTTGATATGAGAATTACAGTACATAAGCAGATAGTACCAATCTGGAGAGAAGTATCACGTGAGTAGAACAATCAGCCATAAGAAAAATAGAAAAAACTAGGAGAAAAAACTCAGGATTGCTACGCTCGCATTCGCCGGTCTTTTATATGTTGCTTAAGCTGTGATATCAGATCGCAGAGCGCTGTTTTCCATCGCTGTTTCAAATTCTTAAATCTCGCACGTTGCGCCTTTTACAACAATTACAATAACAATTTCTGATTGCAATAGCACTTCTGCGATACCCCGCCTTTTTCCTTTTATAGTACCTTTTTTGAAGATCTGTACGAATCTCTTAGCTTCCCCGTTGGAATTGTGATGGTAAGGTTATTCTACTATCCTTCTTTATGTGACTCGCTAATCTGTGTGTTTAAGGTCGGTGTGTGTGCGTCCGACCGCAAATTCATAACTACTGTTCACGTGAACCTAGAGCGTTCAAACTTGGTAGGAGTACGAGGGACAGGATGGGAACACTTATGATGGGTGATAGGACCAGACTCCTCCCACAGGGGGCGGGATTGGCGCGTCTGGGCGAAAATCCATAACTCCTGACCCCGTGGACTTGGAGAGCAAAAACAGTAGGAATAGACAGGCAGGATGGGAACACTGACACTGTCAGTCCAAGGCCCAATAAGGCATGCAAATGGTATCCAAAATGTGACTCGCTCATATCTATCATTAGCAGTCTCGATCAGTTATTGTTGATTATTAAAACTATGACCCATTGAAGGTTTAACAGGTGGGTAAGCAAAGCCTTGAATGGTACTCACAAATGTTGTTGAGTCGTAATAACACTATTATCAAATGACTTTATGTCTCCTTTTCTCTACGGTTACGTCATTAAGTGAGATTGAGAATCCAAGATATAGCGGTCGGACAAGTTTCGCCAAGAATGATATCAAAGCAGAAGAGAAACTGTGATCCTTCATTGAACCGCAAACTTGGTTGGTGGCGGTCGTAAGCAAGAAGTGAACCAAATTTCAACTCCTTATAATCGATCCCTATCACTGCACTTACCCTTCTTGTCGAATAAAACATCGAAGAACCAAAGCCACGTCGAAAAGGTGGTTTGTGAAAGGGTGAAAATTGAAGGTTTGATCTTTCTCTAAGGCCTCTTCTATCGACAGTGTTCCCATTTTGCCTTCTTTACTCCTACCAAATAAGAAGCTCTAGGTCCACGGAGTCAGGAGTTACGATTTTTCGCCAAAACATTTGTTTCGCACAAACCACGCCCTCCGTGGGCGGAGTCTGGTCCTATCACCCACCATACGTTTTTCCATCCTGCCCCTCGTAATCCTACCAAGTTTGAATGCTCAAGGTCCACGTGAACAGGAGTTATGAATTTGCGGCTCAAAATTTCTATCGGTGAGTATAGCTGTTGTGGACCCATTGTACATGTCTTTGATCAGGGAGATTCATCTGTTCTGGAATGTTCCCCTCTCGGAGCACTCTCCAGGTGGCGTGTCGCGGGAGACGGTTGGAGCTCGAGCGATTTCTCCAGATCGAAGAAGGCTGTGTAGCAGGGTCTAGGCTTTTCTCGATACTTTTCTATTACTTCTCTGACTATGAAGATAGCATCCGTTCTGGCATGAAGCCAAACTGGTCCCGTGATATCTGGACGAGTTCCCTCAGCGTTGAGTGCAGACAGCTTGATCCCCCTGAAGTTGGAACAGTCCATCGCCCCCCCCCCCCCTGCTTGAATATGGGAACGACACTGCTG